GCGGTGTTTCTGTTCCCCGCTCTGTTTCTGTCCCCCGCGGTGTTTGTGTCACAGCAGCACTAGAACGCAGGGGCAGGAACTCGGTGAAATCCACCACACTGGGTGGGCAGAGCTGGAAGTGTGGGGGCTTTCCTGGAAGTCCTGATACCTTTTCCTCCCCCATTTCTCAACCCGAAGGAAAACTCTTATTCTCTCATGCAAGCTACAGATGAAAATCCCTGGGAAAGGAGTTTTAATGATATCCTCTGTGGTAAAGGTGACAGATGCCCTCCCGGCCTAACAGCACTTAAGTTGGGGGCAACAGCTCGGTAATAAACGAGCTCTGGGTCTTCACAGAACCCACAGAAGGAAAGAAGAGAGTTTGGGTGGAGGGGGCAGGAACAAGGGTGAGTCATGCTTTAAATTCTGCCCTAGTAAAGGCCTCTGGCTACACATAAAAGGCTTTACGGATTCCAGAACCCAAATATGGAAGGATGAGTTTATCGTTTATGCCGTGCGCAGGCTTCTTCATGAAGGTAACCCCAAAAAGTATTCACTCCAAAGTGGCAGGAGAAGGACAGTGTGGGAAAACTGATGGGGGGCTAGTGTTCCAGGGGGGCCGCAGACACTAGGCAGCGAGTAGGCAGGGAAACAAGAAGTTGGTTCAGAAAACGAGGACCTGGCTCTCTGAGTTCTCTCCCCTATGGCTCCTTTAGAATCTCTAAGATTCTGTGATTCCATTCACTGTAATGCCCCACTTCATTAAAGATAGTGCATGTGAAATGAATATATAACAGAAAGATGTGAGAAAACAAACGTAGGTTCTAGAACTATTCATGACCAAGGCATTTCAACCTTTCTGAGTCCCAAAGCAAAAGACTAAGTATAAGGAGGGGGTTTACACAATCTGAAGGTTAACGATCCCCCCAACGCCAGCTCGCATTGCCTGCCACAGCCCTGCCAGGTCCCCATGTGTGACTGGTTTTGACAGAGTTTCACCTCTAATCCACAGAAGTTAGGTTCTTAGTTAGAATCTCTGACCCCAAATAAGAAGCAACCCACCCGACCAACAATAACACAAGAAATTCTCTTTCTCACGTAGCTGCCGGAGTTCCTAGGAAGTTCTAGTTCTTTATCTGACTGTAGACCACAGCCTCCAGGTGCTACCCCTCTGTCATTTCCAGTACCAGTTCCACCCACAACCCCAGCCATGACCTCTAACCCTGATATGCCACCACTTTCAGTGCTGAAGCTCCTCTTCCCACACTGCACCTCTCCTGCCCCTTCACATCCCCAAAGCTATTGTGGTGGACAAAATCCGATTCCCTCTGCCCAGGGAGTTTGGAAGAAATGAAAGAAAAGAGAAAAAGATTAACGGATCCTATTTCCCAAGCTCTTGTTGTAGGAAATGGTGTTTCGGGCACATAGTAGGAACTCAACAATGTACACTCGTGGAAAACACAGCTCAAACTCCGAAATCTGGCTCCCACCATGCATTACTACATCCACGGCAGTGGCTGTTTAGTACTTCCTGTGCCCACAATGGGTTAAACCGCCTTTCTGTGGGCTGGCCTGGAGAGCTGGCTGCCACCATGGCATTGTTTCTATAGGAAAATGCTGCCCGACTGCCAAAGAATTGACTTACTAATGACCTTTAAAAATTACCTTTCCTTCCTCAGGAATGGCTTATAAATAGGGGAATTTAAAAATCTGTTCAACAAAGGAAGAAATCCAAGGACAACCATCTATGGTTATAACATAATTCTACATACATACATACATGATCATTTAGAGAAACACATCAACGTTTCTATACAGGTATGTAAGGATTATGCTCTCTCTCACACACTAGTCTTGTTTTTCATCTATGACATTGGAACATCGGATCATCTTCCCCAGACCAGTCTCAAAAATTTCAGCAGTGGTGAGAATGACTACAAAGGCCATGTAAACCACAGGATCAAGAGAAACGTGTTTGGAAAAGGGAAAAAAACACAAGATACTGAGAAGAGCTAAGTAAACACCGTATATCGCCCCCCCAAAATTTTCAAACAAAATCTTCTTTAGAAAGTACCATGGAGTCGGTTCCGACCCATAGCGAGACTGCACAGGGTTTCCAAGGCTATAAATCTTTATAGGAGCCAACTGCTGACCTTGAGGTTGGCAGCCCAACTCGTAACCATTATTCTACCACAGCTCCTTTACAGAAACCAGGACCCCTCTTTGTGACACTTCTTCGCAGCCCAATACATACATCCGGAGCACCCTCTCTGTAGGGAACACTGGGAAAGGAAGACACATACAGCCAATGCCTCAAGGTAGTTTGAATCATAAGGTCGGTGGTTCTAATCCATCAGCCGCTTCTTGAAAACCCCATATGAGGTCTCTAGGAGTCAGAACAGACTCAATGGCACTTCACACCAACACCAACATAGAAACCACAAGAAAACTTCCCCTGCATTTTGTTAAGGGAATCTGCGTGGGTAGATGGAAGAGGATGAGTGAATGCCAATCACGGACCAAGGGGCAGACATTCAGCTCAAGAGGACGTTCAGTGAGGCCCTTCGAGAAGGGATCAGAAAGATACGTGATGGGCCAAGCCGGTGGAAACCTGAGTGGAGAAAGGAAAAACATGGTGGCAGAAACTGTTGAGAGAATTCTGCATGCTGAGCTGGAGGGTTCAGATCCAACAGGTCAAGGCCCAAGGTGATGTGGGTTTTGAAACAGAAAAGGTTGTAAATGGAGGGGCTACCCACGTTTTTCATCTATGTCACTGAAAGATACCAGTGATACTCAATCTGCTCTTTTAATATTTGATACTGAAATTTCAAATGAAGCAAGATTTCCTTACAAGGGAAAGGGAAACGGTTACAAGGAAAGGAAGAGAAGCGGGGAGAATGTCTTCGTGTTAGGGCCCAGGTGGACTCACCTCATAGAAAAGTCCTTCTGGAAACTGCTGGAAACACTGCGCACACACAAAGCACTGTTCATGGTACAGCTCGCCGTTGCTGTTCACGATCTTCTCAGCGGGTGCGAAACCCCCTCGACAGCGCTCACAAGTGGCATTGGCCAGGGCGTTGGCCATGTTGCTGTAACAGAAAAGGTCAGAAAGTCACAAACTGAAAACCTTTTCTTACATTCAAGACCAAACAGCACAAAGAACTGAGGACTAAATTCGATCTGATCACAAAAATCATGGTTCACACACATCATTTCTTATTTGCATTAAGAACTCTAACTCAAATTGTTCCAGTCTCTTTAACCCAGGATCTTAGGTTCGGAAAGGGCCGCCAGTTTTGACCCTTTTTCTAACGGCTACTAAATGCACTATGGATGACTGACTACCACGTGCTGGGCATTAGGAACAAAGATACAGGACAAACGGCCTCAAAGAGCTCAGGTTTACAGCTTGATAAACAGCTAATATTTTAACCCAAAGTGAACACCTCAAAGTCCGTTTCTTTCTCTCTGACAACAGCACCTACATAGCATGTGGACGGAAGGCCTTTATCAGATCCTAGGCACGAGTTTTCGTTTTTATTAAACCTGATCAAAAGCCGCTGCTAAAGTCACCCGTACAACCATTCAAGAAGCCGTCGTCTTATTAATAATTGCTAAAACAAACACCAAACACTAAGATTACTGAATCTTTTGAATACTGTCTTTTAAAATCACAGAACATTATATTAAAAAGATCATTTTATTGAGGATGAAATGAAGCTGCAGTGAGGAAAACTGTCTAGCCCCAAGTCACAAAGCTAGCTAGGCAACGGAAGACAAAGGACTAGAATTTAGTTCACCCAGCTCAGAATTCCAGGATCAATGACATAAGAGGATCTGCTCTGGTAGCGTAGTGGTTACGAATCGGGCTGCTAGCCTCAAGGTCGGCAGTTCGAAACTACCAGCCTCGGAAACCCTGTGTGCACGGGCACTATGAGTAGGAACAGACTCCAGGGTACTTAACAACAACAACATCACTTTACAACACTTGAAAGGACATGACAGAGACGTCACCAAGACTGACAAATCAGGACCGTGAGATGGGCAGTCAAGAACATACTGAGGAAGTCAGACTTTGGCCTTTCCCCAGGGTTTCAAACCAATACACTGGGGTTGGCCCTTTGCTGATAATTTGCATTTCCATCCCAAATACACTGAACCAGAATCTATAATTTAACAAATTCCCAAGTGATTCTTAGTATTTAAGAATTCCACTAAACTTTAAAACACATAGACACATTGTATGTTGTTGTTGTTAAGTGCCCTGAGTCGGTCCAACCCATAACGACCCTGTATAGGGTTTCCAAAGAGCAACTGTGGCCCTTGAGGTTCAAACCGACTTTGCAGTCCAGCACATTAGCCCACAGCGCCACACCTCCCAAATTCTATCTCACAATTGGAAGCCAGGATGGCCAGATTTGGTCTCTCATGCTTCAGACATATTGTCATGAGGTACCAATTTGGTGAAGTGGAAGGTCAGAGAAAAAGAGGAAGACCCCCAATGAGATGGACAGGCACTGTGGCAGCAGCGATGGGCATAAATGTGGCAACAATCGTGAGGTTGGTGCAGGGCCGGGCAGTGTTTTGTGCATGGGGTCGCTATGAATCAGTACCAACTCGATGGCACCTAACAACAACATTGTGCAATTTGGAAGAAGGAAAGTAAAAGGTTTTGACAGAGATGTTGTTGTTAAGTGCCGTTAAGTTGGTTCTGACTCTTAGCGACCCTGTAGGGGGTTCCCCGTTAGATAATCATTTAGGCTTTAAGCAGGCCTCACAACACCCCCACCACCCAGCCATGGATTTCACAAAAAACACCTGTTTGTTTCTGAAAGGCCTCCAAGTGGCGGAGGGAGGTCCATTTGCAGAGCCTGTGTCCTTTGTGAGTTCCCCCATTTTTGTAACCCTTTTCAGATTCCCACTTAAGAGTGAGTGCGGCGCTCAACTTCCCTGAAATGTAAGCAATCCGTGTTGCCAAGCTGCTACCAGTCTGTCTGAATCTTCACCAAAACCCCATGAGCTGAGTGGAAGGGGAAGACGCCATTTTACAGGCAAATGAGTTGTGTTGTGAAGTGGTCACTACTGGGCTTCGCCTACCCCCCCCAACCCAATGCAACACTGATATTGCCGTCTGCTTTCTCTCTCACAAAGTGTCCAAGAACAGCCTTCCTGTTCTGTCGTCTTGCCATCATTAACTCCATGTGGAAAACACGTACCGTTCACAATCCTGTATCAATCAAAACTCAACTTTATTGAATAGGCCTGGATATGAAATTGCTTTAAGGTGTGGTTGAGTCAGTTCTGACTCACAGTGACCCACCCTGTGTAGGGTTTCTAAGGAGTGGCTGGTGGGCTTGAACTGCTGACCTTATGGTTATCCTATTCCACACCAGAACTCCACTGACTTTAAATTGCTGTTGTCCTCGGTTCTGACTCACAGCAACCCTGTGAACAACAGGAAGAAACACTGCCCAGGACTGTACCGCTGTCACAATCATTACAACGTTGGAGCCCATTGCTGCTGCCACCGTGACAGACCACCTCTGGGGGGTCCTCCTTGTCCTCGCTGACCCCCCACTTTACCAAGCATGATGTCCTGCCTCAAGGGCTGGGCCCACTGAGAACAGGTCTGAAGTATGAGACACCAAGTCCAGCCATCCTGGTTTCTAAGGTGCACTCTGACTGTACTTTAGATTTTTGTTGTTGTTAAGAGCTATGAAGTCAGTTCTGACTCACAGCGACTGGTACATTTGACCTGTCAGTCTTGCAGTTCAAATCGACCTCGTGGTCGAGTGTGCCAGATTAGCAGTTCCCAAAATGTGGGGTCATAGTGACCCTTTTCAACTACATTATCTGTGGGAAGCCACCTTTTCTTCACAGACTTTATCTAAAACACCTGTAAATTGGGTGAGCGCAAAAGCAGAGAGGATGATGGGAGACTATCTTTCATCAGGAAAAACACTAATAGAATTACAAAAATGCAAAACCATGCCTTTCTTCCCACTCAATTCTTTTTGCTTTGGAAAAGAGTTCTTTTTCACACAAATATCCATGGGTAATATTAAAAGGTAATCCATTTCTTATGTTAAATGAATTCATATTCTGTTTTCTCAGTTTTAATTTCTAATAAAACAGCATGCTCAATGTATTTAAGAGTATAAAGTCAGAAAGTCTGAGAACCTCTGAACTGTGTATATTTCACGATATTATACTGTTGTTGGATTGGTTTGGCTTCCTGGCAATCCCGTACATGACAAAACAGGGACCGGTCATGCTTGCCCATTCTTACAGCCACTGAGAGATTCCCTTTGCATCCAGCAGTCCTGAGCACTCTGGTGATTTGTAGGGTCTACAGATTACCAGCCCTTTCTCCCCTGTTGTAGTCTAGAAGCTCTGCTGAAACCTGCCAGTTGGTGGTCCTGTAGTGGCTTGCATGTTGCCACAGGATGTTCCATTGGATTATAGACAGCTTCTATTCAAGTTCAAATACTCAAACAGAATTAGGAACTGAGCAGACACATTATAAGAGCAAATACACACTTATGTCCCACACCGGGCAATAATAAACCAGCTTTAGGGAAATAATGCAATGTCCATTTTAGTAAGGAATCCGGGTGGCACCATAGGATAAGCACTGAACTGCTAACTGTAAGGCCAGTGATTCAAACCCACCAGTCACTCCCCGTGGGAAAGAGGACCCTCTCAGCTCCTGTATAGAGAAGCATCTCACAGCTTTATACAAGGTTGTTATGATTTGGAATTAACTCAATGGCAGACGGCTGATATTCCTTTAAATTACCAGAAAAGCAAGAAAAGGAAGCAACATAAGACAGGAGCATTCGAAGAAACTTGTCGGAACAAAAGTCACGAAATGGAATCAAAGAGTCAATCATGCTATTGTTCAATTTACCATAATTAACTAATTTTTCAGAAAAAGATTTTTCACTAAAACACATGTATTTTTAGTATAGAATCTTTATAGCTGATCAATTATAATTGATTTAATTGACTTATTTCTACAAATCAATTTCACATGGAAAATTTTATATCCCCTAGCTTTCCATTAGATCAGCGGTTCAAACCCACCAGCTGCTCCTTGGAAATTCTATACAGAGTTGCTATGTGTTGGAACCAACTCGACGGCATGTAACAACAGCAACTAGATAGGACATGCGTTTTCTTTATTCAAATGCTTTGCTTACTAGAACATGTAGCATGCATCTTCTGGTCTTACAATGGAACTGTCTCAAAAATCACCTTGAGAATTCACAAAGTAGTTACATGTCTGACCGTGTCATAATGAGAACTCCCCCGTTACTCTTAAGCAGAGCTATTCATGAGTGGTGAGAAGAAATCCCTTTAGGTGCATTCTCACACAGATGGGTTACCAGAGCATGTGGAAAGGGGCTGCTAGCTTGTCCTAATGTCTTATTGACAAATGTGGGATTTGTAGTAATTCTAGCTCAAAATTTTTAATCAGGCCAACAATCCTACTTGAGTTCGTTTAAAGACTACTTTGCACTATAGTAGAAAAAACTTAAAAAGCTGTTTGCGAAAAGAGGCATTTAGACTAAGCATTTAGAGTTCCTTACCAGCCTCTCCTACTCCCCCGACACATACATCCCACATATGTGTACACATATATGGCCATTCAGTCCTGTCAACACAATGCTCTGAAAATCAACTAGCCTGTTTCAAATTGCAGGCTGTTAAACATAAGAACAACAAAAAATATTTCTTTATCAACAGTGTTTAGTTCTTAACCCACTCCCCTCCCAGTCCCTTGGTCTCTGTGACGTTTTAGAGCATACAGCCTTTCTATTATAACTCCTCCCAAAGAAAAGTTGACACGTCCCTTCTTTAGACCATGTAATAGAAATGTCCCCTTTGACCGTGGACAGAGACTTAATTACTTTTATTTTACAGGTGGCATTTTCCACCCATTCCCATCTCATCTACTGAAAGGTTTTTACACAAAGACAAAGTGTCACTGTAAGTACAGGAAACAGTCTTAGCCAAGTCAGACCCCAAGGGAGGGTAGGTCTCAGGGGACAGGAGACACTCACAATTTCGCATAAAAGTCACAGAA